CTCCCCATGCGTGTTCGTGACTCGTCCCATGATACCGCTGGTTGATGGCCCTTTGCGGGTTGATAGAAGGGATAAGAACGGCACACAGCGGGGCCATCGAACTTGCTCTGATGGCCACCTATCCTTGACAATCTCCTGCACAAGGTGTCTACTCCCTACTTCCTCCGGTCCCTTTGCGTTTTTTAAAAAGTATTGTAACGACAGTTCAAGAAGTACACCTGTCTAGTACAATCCCTTTTCTCTGTCTTGGAAAATTTTGACTTTACTTGCTTGTGACAATAGAAGATTATCCAATCAGCTGATAACTGGCACGATAAACAAGCCAACCTTTTCATGGGTCCTGGAGAGGAGGTAGGAGCAGTTATCGCACTGTACCACCTGCATTGATACTTATTTTCCGACCAAGTAACCAAGTAGCCAAGTGGTTTTGAAATGGCGAGGTATTAGTTCAACTCCAGGGTGAATACGTAGTGAGAGAGGCGAGATCTTTATCACGAGTCGCGGTAGAAATAACGCTTAAAAGAAGAAAAGAGAAGAACCGTCTTGAAAACTTCTAACATAATTACTCAAATTCAAGGAGTGTCCTGATGGGGAATCGAACCACTAGAGCCTATATTGTAGTCCAGCCCAATACCAACTCAGTTTTAATCCCTGTTAGTTACTAGTATTAGCCTGCAATGTTTGGTTTCCGATTACGCACAACGCTCTCCCTCTCTCTTCCTTTGTTTGTATTGTATGCGCATCAGCCGTCTGGAAATATGAAAAGGTGTATTTGAGAAATCAGACTTCTGAATTTGCATGTATTGAGGATCAGTCCACAATACAACAGTTAGTATATAATAATGATAACCGACATCTATATAGCGCTCAATCCCGATTAAAGTACTTGGAATATCTACCTGTTTCGATGCCTGGTTAAGACAGCTTTATATATAAGGTTGCTGAATATAGCTAATATAAATATATGAGATTCGTTCTTAAAATGCATGTAAGTGAATAAACGAATCACGATTCTCTTTTTATCTGTAACGATCAGAGAAGAAGACATTATGTAATTGAAAACAGATACTCTCCATATAAATTACTTCGATTTTCCTTATTTAAGTACTATGTCAACTGAAAAGCATTCTTAAAACTGATCTTCTAACGTATCCTTTCACAATGTGCTGCTATAACTTTAACAATAAGACTGTATAAACTTGAGGAAATTATATAACGATATAATTTCCACAAGTATCTAAAGTCTTTACTTATCGTTAAAATCATATCATTATGGCCTGATTTAACTCGGTGCAGCTAAATCGTGAGATGAGTGCTAAGTGAATTGGGTTGCAAGGAAGCATGATCCCGACATTTGGAGTAAGCCAAGGCTGAGTCTTCATGAACAAGTAGCATTATCATTTTAGAGTATAGTTCAAAAGGCAAATCGTGACTTAGGCCCAGGCTTCTTACTTATGTCTACATTCCTCCTCCTATCCCCTTAATCTAAGCCCGAGTTTGATATCGATCTGTACCATTGTACGGGGTAGAGTCAATACAACAATAGTAATTTCCCAATAATCCTTTATTAGGCTCATCCTTGGAGCGATTCAGGAACTACACATGACCCATGGATCTGGAGTTCAAGACAGTGCTTCTTTGAAAGGTTTTAAACACAAGCATCTGTGGCGTAGAAGGTAAACGTTACACTGTTGAACACAGAAGAAGTGAGTTCAATTCCTGTGACGGGAGTTTTTTTCTTTTCGAGTTCCTATTCTGTTTTTTCGGATGTTGTTCCCTTCTCAGCTTAGGTTGGTCCTGACAGGAACGCTCGCAGTAGACTTCCTCTTAATTAATCTAAAGTGTGTCGATGATGGCGTAAAAAAGATACATTTACAATAACAAAAGTTTGAGTCTGAAATATCTAGGTAAGCAGAGCTGATGAAAGGCAGACATCACAGGGGAGTAGCAAGTAAAGGTGCCATGAAAGCTGAAGACGGTCTTTGAAACTAGAACTTTACCAGCTTAGAAGATGTGGGAAAGATCTTGCACTCTAGTCTATTGCAGATTAACTTCACAGACGAGAGAAAACTTATACGATTTTTTGAAACTGCAAGAAGTCTACAAAATTTGGAAAAGTTGCGCCCACATCCACGAGGAAATTTTCAGTAACTACAAATCGGTATGGAAGAAACTGAGAACTAGCATACGGCTTCTAAATTGTCCATATTATACATATTATTATACCCATCTGCTTAAATTAACGTTTCGTTTTTTAGCCTATAAGGAGTCCGAAATTTGATATATTTGTAGGGTTTAGTTTTTGTAATGCACAGGGTACGGGAAAAATGGAGACATATTATAACGTACTATGACATGCTAAATAATTGGTTTCGTATCCTGCTAGAGAAAAAAAACAACCTGTGTGATTCTCTTACCACAGTAGAAGATACTACTTTATAAGTATTGACACTTTGTCTATGTCCAAGACAAAGTAGAAAGTACAAACGATATCACTTACCAGCACTGTAATAGAGGGTCGATTTCACATTATCTTCCTCCTCCTCGTCATCAGGGTGGGTTTCAGACTCTATCTCTCCTCTTTCTACCTGCTCTCGCCTCACTCTCTTCATAAACTCCTTGATTTTCTCCCTCACTTCTCTTGTAGACATCTGGGACATTTTGTTGACTGTTGTGTTGGACGGGAGACCTTGGGCAAAGCTGAGTTTACTCAAAATCTTCGACTTGAGTTCCTCTACGACAGCTTCGTGTTCTTGAGACCTGACGTCAGCGTCTTTTTCAGTTCCGGTTTCGGTGAGCACACTTCCGCTTCTGCTGCAGTTTGTCGTCTTTGGCTGGGGGAGCGCCGGGAGCGCCTTGGCGTGGCTCACATGACAGACTGGGGCTAGAAGGAGGAGTAGACAGGGGAGGAAGGAGGAGAGGAGGAGGACGAGGAAGTGGGAGGACGTGGTCAATGTACTCCTATGGCGGATCAGAGCTTGCGTCATGCTCACGTACCAGCCAGATCAGACACCGATTGTGTAGGGGGCTGTCGTCTGATTGGCTCAGCGAATCTCGTGACAAAATTGAACTCAAAGTCTGTTACTTGTTTTGTCCCTTTCTCTTTATATGCATTTAATCCAGCTCATAAAATCCAAAATGACACAAATATTCCAGGGCTTTGGGTGTTTGTAAAGCACCAAATGTCTCAGATTTTATAAGACTGTCTGCATAGTAGCAAAGAGTATACTGATATGCAAAGTCCACTTCGTGACCAGACACACATATGCATACGTATCTCTTGCTTGTGGGTCGGTTCTGTTGAGAGAGAAGAAAACAAAGCAAGTTTTAAGGAAGAGAATGGATCTACGAAATTTGTCCAAGAAAAAAGTTTCCAAGATCTCTAAAATCTAAACATTACATCATACAGAAATGAAAATTTGTGCGTACCTACAGAAACGGGTTTTCTATTCAACATAACAGCCGTTGACCTCAATTCACTTTTTAATCTGATGTAACTATTAGCCAAACACAGTGACCATTTCTGCTTCGACAACAGTCCTCTGCAAGGCATTTGTTTCAAGCACAGTTTCTTCCTCGTTTTTAAATCGCTTCCGACCTAGCCCTTCTTTGATTTTGGAAAAGAAATGAAAGTTGTTTAGTGGGAAGTCTGGGGAATAGTGTGGGTGTTCAAGGATCTCCCACTGCTAGGAGTCCAGAAGGTCGGGGACATTTCGAGTAGTGTGCACGGGGCGTTGTCGTGATGGAAACAGACCCGGTCGCTTTCTTCTAATTGCTGGCCTCTGCTTTGTTTGAATAACCATTTTGTAATCATTGACATTTGTGCCAAGAGGAACCGATCAGTTCAAAACCACATCTTTCAGATCGAAAAAAATGATGGTCATCATTTTCAAAGAACCTTGATGACGTCGAGCGTTCTGGGATCGTGATGATCCTGGGGTTCTCCGTTTCGCAGATTGTCTGTCTTTTCCGTTCTATGTCTCACAAATTCACCCATGTTTTATCACCTGTTGTGATTCTTCTAAAAATATGTGTCCCGCTATTCCATGTAATTTTTCATTTCTTCCCCCAAATCAAAACGGACTAAGGGAGCAGCGATTTGAAGACGAGGAAGAAATATTGTTCAAAATGAATGGTGCGCTTAGAACTGTGAAGGAAGTGGACATGGCCACTGCGTTTGACCACTATCTACATTGGATGAAAAAATGCATGGTCATCAATAGTTGTTATGTTTAACGAAAAAAAACCTAACAAAAATGAAACATGTACAGGTATATACAAAATGTCATGTCTGTAAGATAAAAGTTGTTGATTATCAGAGAACAACAAAACCTACTTCTGGAAAAGACCGCCTTGTGTGAAGCGTGAAAAGTGAGTGTAATATATATATATATATAATACACCCATGTGTATGTGTGTGTGAACGTGTGTGTATGTGTGTGTGTATGTGTGTGTGTATGTATGTGTGTGCGTGCGTGTGTGTATGTGTGTGTATGCATGTGAGTGTATAGGGTGGAATATATAATAAACAGACATTC